TTATGGTCTTTACATACCTGTGCAAGGTTTTAGAGATACTGAGACAGTGATATTTCAAGGCCAGTGTCCAATTTATTCCTTGGCTCAAAGCACTTGAAATCTCATTTCCCTGTATATTTCATTGTGGGGGGGAGGGGTTGGGGGTCTCTTTGTCAAGTGCTACCAAAAATCAAACACTCAATCTTCCATGATTCCACAGTTTTAAATCTGTCACACAGATTTTTGAATACTTTTGAAAATGTCGCTGTAAAGCTGACAGCAGGGTCTGCCATGACCCCAGCAGGACAGGAAAGAGCACATGGAACTTCAGGTTTACTTTCCCAGTTTTTCCTGTCCTGAGCTGTATTTGTTTCTGAGGCAACAGCCTCAGAAATGGCACATGAGCAGTTAAACACCTCAGGTCTTGCAGCTCATACATCTCATTCTGCTGACACAGACAGAAGGCAGACACAGCTGAAGATCAGAGCCAGAAAAATATTGCAAAAACTTTGTGAAAGTTCACTTCATGGTAACCCCACATTTGACTGAACATATTCCCTGTGAGTTCCTGACTGGCATCCTAAACAGTGGATAAAGACCTATTTTATCACCTCATGACTTTGACTTCATTAAGAAACCACAGAAGTCTGATAGCACTGAGCTGCCATGTTCTCACTGGGCTTGGAGCAAGGGTTCTCCTCATGGTCTTGCATCACGTCACTGCTTCCTCTGCAGAGCCCTCCTGCTGTCTTGGCACAGGTGAATAAGCAGCCACTCCCCTCAGGAGCCAGCAGGACCCAGTGTATCTTTTCCTGCAGGCTGGCACCCAGCCAGACATGCTGCTTTGCTCTTTCCCTGCGAGAATGCACAGAAGGACTGAGCTGTGCAAAATCTGTCTGGTCTGGGGAGAGTTTGGATGCTTGACTGTTGAGGAAACGCTGGCATGTTCCTCCCAGTGCCTCTGTGCTCTCAGCCATCTGCCACCTGCCTCCTCACTAGGGGTTCTCTGTGTTTGCTGGGAAGGGGAGGCTCAGAAGCACAGAATGAAACAGCTGTGCTGTCCTTGGGCTCAGCCAGACACACTGCACATTGTCCCACCTTCCAAGGCAGTGGGGAAGCGTGTGGAAACAGGAGGAAGAAAAAATTCCAAGCAACCTTATATAGAGAGCCATAGTTAAGTGTTTCATGGACAACAGAGATATGTTCATTCCGTCCTTCCTGTCCAGCCCCATCCAAATCCTAAGCAAGACTAAGAACTGGGGAAATGAGAATCAAAATCTTTCTGCTGGCTGCCAGGCAGGAGAAACTCCATGTGCAGCTGATACAACCTTCATGCTCTGAACTGCAGGGATGTGTCCCCTGCCTTTGTGGGAATGATCTATCCAGCTGAGATAAAAGGATCAGGCTGTCTGGTGGGCAAGGACAGCCCCAACCTCTGCCATGGCATGAGCAACTTTATCAGTGGGAATAGGAGGAGAAGGCTCTGCTAAGCTGGGTTCTGCCCTACAACAGCAAATGCATTGTTTGTAAATCAGACTTTGGAACTGCTTAAGACTTAAACACAGCTTCAATTAATTAAACTTTCGCAGTGCAACACAACCCCAGAGTGAATACAACACTATTCAGTCCCTGACTGCAGATTTTGTTGCAAAATAAACAAGTTTTTCCAGGGATGGGCTTGATAATGCTGATCAAGAGGTTGGGTTGGGTTCAAAGTCATCTCAAAGTCCTCGTGGGGATATGAAAATGGTTGTAACACCTAGAGAAAATTACCTTTAGCGAATATTTGTACACAGCATATGTTGTAAAGCCCCAAATGGCCTGACAGAGGTGCTCTGTAATAAGTTCTCTGAGCATGTTTCCCAGCAGTATGAACCTTAGGGGGTTTGATTTTATTGTTTTATTAAAAACTGTTTCCAGGATGCTCAAGCAACGTTTTTCTAGCTATTTTTTATGCATGATTACACTTTCTTCACTATGCTAATTTTATTCCTGTAAATGTGCCCTCTGGACCAAACAGTGCTTCCCTCATGGTAACACAACTCTTGTCACATTGGTGAAAATGAAGAATGGAATTTGATCCATCAAGGTCAATATTTGACCTCTCACCCTCTCTTTCTGAAGCTGAGAACATTCTGCAGCAGTTTTACCAGGTAAATACTGTCCCCCAGTAAATGAAGAAATGGCACCAACATTCTTGCACCGAAGTAAAACAGAAGACTGGGAATATTTCTTTAGCACAACAGGAATGACTGCTGGAAAAGAGCCACAGCTGCTGGACCCCTCAACCCCACCTGAATCAGAGCTCAGGCTCAAATACAGGCAAGAATCATTTACTGCTCCAAACCACAGAGCAGGGGAGCGTGTAAAGCTGCACTGGGAGTGATGGGATGCCAGCACTTCCAGGGAATGGGACCCTCCTGGCAGGCTGCTCTTGCAGTTTCCATCTAGAATATTCTATCCAGGGATGGTTTCCATACTGCTGTCCATATGTTCATAGTAGCCATAGCAGAGACACAACTTCATATGCTCTATAGGGAACGTGGCCCTGCAAGTGGCTTAGGGTATGACCCCTCCCATGGGGAAAAGCAGCTCAGCCTTGACCTCCAGGAATTCCTTCCAACCAACACTTCCGTGATTCAGTGATCCTTCGTCTTTTCCTGTGGCGGGGCCTTGGCCTGACAGCTGCTGGGTTTCTAAGTTATTTCCCTGCCTTGGACTGACTGCGAGCCAAAGGAAATAAAGCTGGCAGAATCCCCCGGATCGCTGCACTGTCCTAATCCCTGCTGGGGCCTCCAGAGAGGGTGTGGAACAGGAGCAGCATCCCAGCAGAGCCCTGGCTCCGTCCCCTCCAGCCTGATGGGCACCAGGGCTGAAGAAATCCAGGATGGCAACACAGATCACAAAACAAAAAACAAGACCTGGAAAGGAAACACATGTCTGAAGTACAATTCCTTGATACATTTTCCTCCTGGTATGACACAACTCTATTTCTTTCTCTCCCAGGCACAACCAGCCACCCCTCTGATGAAGTTACTTAGACAAAACATGAAAAGCAAATAACTATCCCATATCATTCCTCACTTAAACTCCATTCTGAGACACAGTTTTGTTCTTCGATGCCCACAAAGCAGATTCAGCCTGCTGGGTTTTCATTATTTATTTTAAAATGTTTTCACAAGTAGCAAAAGTTTGGATTTTTGAGTAGAAAAACAGGAACACTGTCTATTCTCAGAATGCCTATAAAGATAGATGCTTTCCCCCTTTGTATCAGGACACAAAATTATTATAAATATATATGTATGTATATAAAAATAAATGTTTTGGGACTAACAGATTCAACGAAAAGAACTTCAGAGAGGGACAGAGACAAAATAGAAAAAAAACTGTGACATCACAATTTTATAAATCCCTTTTTTAAAGGTGTTCAAAAATTTTGACCTTCCACTGAGCATGAAAGAGGGGAGGAAACCCCAAATGCTACTGAAACGGGCAAATGGTTCACAACCACATTTTGTATAATTCACAATGTCACACTTGAAGTTATTGTGACAAGGCTGATATAAAAGTGTAAAAGTGCATAAACTCTGGGGTTTACATAGAAGAGGATACATATTTAAAGCATATTTTATGTTTTAGGGCATTTACCTCACTTTACCCCAAAATAATTATTTTAGCCTATAAGGGAAATAGTAATTGTATTAAAGCAACAGCCCCATAACAGTAAGACCTTCCCAGCATCCAAGCCAAGCAGAGAGAAAGGGCCAGGGCACCACAAGCAGGGTGGTAACAAGATCCCAACCACTAACTGGAATATGGCTTTTATCTATTGGAACTCAAAAAATTTAGAAATTCAGCTCCTCTGTTTGCTTTCCCTTCCAGAACCAGCACTTTCCCTGTTGGGAAATCACCAAATCATCTATTACAAACATCATCATTTTTCCTGCTGTTATTTTCCCCTCATATGGAACATGCCAAGTCCCAAAACGTCAGGACTCAGAACACATTGCAAGAGGTTCAAGCTGCCAAAATTCTTGCTGGTTTTGGTATACCTTGCTCAGAAGAGGGAGGAAGGGGAAGAGGAGGAGAACCCACTTGTGTTTTTTCCATGCCAGGCAGCGGTCAGTGCCCTGCTGGCCCATCCCGGCCGTGTCTCCCCATCCCACCCGATTCCCTCGCAGGGTGCCAGCGTGGGCCATGGCCTCCCTCTAGCGTCCACAGCACGGGCTCCTCTGCCTCAGCTCCCCCGAACGAGCCAGCAGAGCCCTTCCAGCTCCCCAGGCAGGAGGAATCCGGTTCGGTCCTGCGAGTAATGACCCATAATTATGTTTACAGACTCTCCAGAGTATGAGAATTCATTGTGCCCCCGGAGTGTCTGGGGATCAAGCAGCCTCCTGAAGATCTCCTATAATTAACATTTAACGATTATGCAGAAAGCCCGAGGCAAGCAGCTGTCTCCATTCTGCAGGAGAGGCCCCAGGGCAATAGGACACAAAGACAAACTATTCAGAAACCCCTCATCAACTTAACTTTCCTCCTCCCTTGCCCACAGACTTCTCACTTGTTCTAGCAGCACAGGAAGGTGCAAATGTCACCTTGGCACGATGGCAGCAGTTTCTTTTGTAGAAGAAACACCCAGCTCCCAGGTCTATCCAAAAATGGCTCCTGCTGCCAACATGATGTGCATGAATGAGCTTCACCACGTTCAGGTCAAGGGCTGCTTCTGTCAGCCCGGAGGAACCAGCAGCAGCACCTGCACAGGATTTGGCAGCATCCCTCCCTGGTAAGGGATCATTCACTGACAGGGAGTGTGAAGGAGGGGGCAGGAGCACATTTCTGTCTCAGCCCTGGTAATGCTTTAAAACAAAGCTAAAATTGAAAAAATAAAATCACATCCAGATGCAACCTTAAAAATGTAAACTAGTAAAACATTAAGCTGTAAAATCAACATGAGTCAGTGGCTGAAGTAATGAACAAAGGGGCAGAGTTCAAGCAGATACATAAGCAAGATTCCTCTCTTCCCCAATTTAAAAAGTCAATATTTACTGTAAATCTGTTTAATACACCAATGGATTGCTTTAAACACTCCTTTGGGTAGAACTCCTGATCTCCACCCTGGAGCATTGATGAGATCCACTAGTCACGGGCAGGATTCAAAGCCAAGTCTAACAAGCAGAGCAATCTTGACATTGCTCCAAGCTTTAGTCACAGAAATACGGTCATTATTGTGGCAGTTAATTAAATTAGGCTCTTTCCTATTAATATTACATTCACCTCCATATTTTAAACAGCCCAAATGTCAATTTAATACATTCCTTATTCAGTGTTAAGCCCTGTGCCTTTGAGGCATCCCAAAAGCTGCTGTGTTTTGGAAGGCTTTTAAAGGTGAAAGACTTTGAGATCTGGACCCACTTAGATGCAGACCTTGGTCAAGTCAATGAGCAACAGCAGCCCCTGCTTTGTGTAGTAAGGATTGTCACTAAAAGATGTATTTTAAGACTGAATTTCTCCTGAAGGAGAAGTAGAAATTTAGTAATATCTGGGAATATTAAATGCTAGTATAAGGTCACTGAATCAAATGGGACCTGAATAGAGACAGACCTATCCAATATGGTAGAATTCTCACAAGCCTTGATGTAACTGTAGCTTTTAAAACATTGACAAAACCTGCAGTTTGAGGCTCTGAGGTCTCGCTAATTCTTACAACAGTCTTCTTGTATCAGACACTCTTTAAATGTATATTTTCAGTATTTTTAGCACACGTGCTTACTCCACAAATGCTGGATGCTGCTGCTCACTAACTTAACCTGGAACACCCACAGAGTTGCTTTATTTCCCCTCAGAGTTGTGAAGAAGTGCTGGAGAGAGTTCTTTGTTCCCAGTCACAGGCTCCAAGCAAGGATTCAGGTTCTGAAGTGGTGGAAGACCCTGTGTCAAGGACCCCTGGTCCGAAGGCACAGCCAGGACAGGTTACAAGAGCACCCAGCTCAGAGGATTTTGCATCAGGGCAGCATGAGGGATTTTGCCAGTCTTGTCCAGAACCATTTTTTGGTGCAAGGATTGGTGTAGTCACAAATCGTAATGAACCGTAAGATACTTGGAAACTCGTTCTTCATGGATTTGTACTTGACTGGAATCAGCCGTTTGTGACGAGCACCTGAAAGAGAGGTCACACAGGCACTGGGTTACCCAGAGCCACAGGCAGAGCCCACATCCATTCCCTACCCACCACAGCATGCACATCATAAGATCCAGGCCTGCTCCTGACTGGGCATCATCTGATTATACTGCAACCAGCTCTCACTCTGGAGAGCAAATCTCTGAATCCTGATTTGCTCAGGCTGCAGATATTCCCCAATGAATTCCCCTGCTAACATGGGCTGCTGGTTTTGAGACACCATGAGATGAGAAAACCCTCCCTGTGACTGCTGCTGCTTGAAGGAGCAGCTCTTCTACAGAGGAGTTTCTTCCCTTGTAGCTCTCCACAGGGACACCTGCCACCACCTGCACTGTGCCCAGCACAAGTGATGACACTGAGACTGGGATGAGGCAAATAACCAAGATTTCCTAACTGCAGCAGATGCTGGAGTAATCCATGGAGCTCCCAGGGCTTGCCACCAAACCCTTCTGTGTGTTACTAACACCCCACACAAACAGGGAACGCTGTGACTCCTCTAAGCCTGTACTTCCACCCGTGTTCTCACTGGCAGAGCTCAGGTCATTCCATACAGATAGAACTTCTTTTCCTGTTCTAACAGAAAGTGTGATGCCCACAAAAAAAAAACAACTATGAAGAACTAAAAGGACTTTTCTACAAATCTTGACAACTGGGGACTGATACAAAGTCCTGGGAGTGTTCAATGGATTAACTGATATCATATGAAATTAATGTGTCAAGGAAGATGAAGTGAATTCATGTCTCTGCCACCAGTTTCCAGTCTAACCTCTGTAATATCCTTTATAATATCATGTCAAATGCCTCATCTAGAAAAGAGACTTTATATCCAGATATTCTTCCCAATTCTACATATCGTCCATACTATTAGGCTGGGCTGCACTTACTCCCCAGTCAAGGATTCCTGCAAGAATCATAAAATGGAATGGGTTGGATTGGAAGAGGCCTTGAGGAATATCCAGTTCCAACCCTCCTGCTATGGGCAGGAACACCTAGATCAGGCTGCTCAGAGCCCCACCCAGGCTGGTCTTGAAATCTGCATGTTCATTACCTGTCACCTAATTCCCAGCTTTACTCACATCCTGGATTTATTATACTACTTGTCTCTTAAGCAGCAAATTTTCCTGTATGGATGTGGGAATCCTTCACAAGTCTGACATGCAGCTCTGACATTTCTGGAGCAGGCAGCATTATCCCACTGACAGCTGGAGCAGTGCAGCACAGGCAGCTTCTCCCTCACGGCCACGTGAGGAAGGTCAGGAGCAGGGCAAGGGACCGAGCCCAAGCCTGCACAACCAAATTATGAACCATTATGAACTGTTAGTTCCAATGGTACAGTGCCCACTGACCTCAGCTGAAGGTTTAGATGTCACTCTAACAAAAATGATAATGTGCAATTGTAAATGGGATATTTGTGTGATGTTACCTGGGGAAAGACTAAGAGCAAATTTAGTCTGGAAATCACATTCGTCGCTTTCCAGGTAGTCATCTGAAACGACAACCACCATCCTCCGACACCTGGAGAGTAACCAGGGGAGAAAACAAATAAAATGTCAAATGAGATGGTTTTCATTTCCACAAAGAGAAGTATTTACTGCTCTGAATTGCTCCAGTGGAGAAGGATCTGGCTGTGTTCCAGCAGGAATTAACAGACAGACACATAGTGATGTTACAGCGAAAAACCTGATTACAGATACACACTCATATACCAAAAAAATGAGGAAACAGTGAAGTCCAGACTGTCAGTGCAACCTTCATGTGATCCTGTGTCTATATATGACACACAAGGCAAAGAAAAGTGATTGAACATAAGTAGCATCACCACAGTGGCACCTCCCTCATGAACACAATGAAGCGACACACTGGGGAATGTGACTGAGTCGTCATTTTTGAGCCAAGAGCATAAATCCAACCCCATTAAGACATTCTTGTGGATTTTTGCTGTTTGACTGGCACCATGCTGCAGACATCATTGCAAAATGAATGTAGTGTTCCACTACACTCACAGCTGGCCCCAACAGCCACGGTTCACTTACCTCCTCTCTATAAGTTCTCCACTGATGGACCACACACAGGTTCCTGGCAAGACATCCCGATCAAATACACAGAGCTTCAGTTTGAACTCTGTTTGCTCCAGCTCCCTGATCATCTCCTGGACAAACTGGAGGTCTTTCTGACAGTAGCAGATGAAGGCATCAAATATCTCTGTTCCACTCCCTGAAACCATTAAAAATGTAGCTGTCATCTTCTACTATAAATGAAGTTCACTCCTATAGTGAATTTTCAAGAGCTCCCACAGACTTTAAGTCAGAATCAGGAGTCTGACAGAAAAGCTCTGGCCAAACTTGCAAAGGGAATTCAGCATTTTATTAGATGAGCTGCCCTTCAGCCCAGACTCCTGTCCTTAACAGGGCTGGCAGGAGGTAACACATATCAGTGCCCTGGCTGCTTTCACTGGCCAGGCTGTTCACACACACACACACATTGCCTGGCAGGGGTTAGGGAAAGGAGCTGAGGTGCAGATAGGCAAAATCTGTGGAGGCAATAACATCCAGCCACAGGGAGTCTGAGTAGAGCTGGAGGGAGCAAAGCACCCTAGGGGATACAACTCAGAGCCCTGACACTCTGGATTTCACTCAGAGTTTCACATCTCTAATATCCCTGTGGCTCTGGGTCCTTTTTCCCCAGTTCAAGTCACAGAGATTCAGACCTCCTAATCAAAACAACATTCACCAATGTCCTGCCATCTGCTGTTGATGGAGATATGGGGTGAGCCTTGAAATTTGGAACCTGTCGTTTTTATGGCTAAGATGTCAAATCTGGGTACCTGAAGTCATATCCTAATAGGCCTGTTTTCCAATTACATTAATGGCTGGCAGCTCTTGTTTATTTAGAAGTCATCCAAATATTAACATGCTGCATTTTAAGGGCAATGTTTCTCATAATTAAGTGCCTTAACACTGCTGGATAGTTTCCAACTGTGTTATTTTTTTTTTCCATATCAATGTCACTACAGATATATTCAATTTGTTATGCCAGTTAAAGCCTACCACAGTGAAAAAATAGGTCAGGCTCTAAAAGCTGCTGAGGAAAGTATCAACCCAGCAGGCAGATTCAGCCCAAGAAGCATCCAGTGAAGCAGAAGGGGAATGTCTGCCAGGTCAGTCAAACCGAGGGTACTGCTGCAGGGGCATGGCGCTAACTTGGGGGTCACGTCAGGTAAAGCTGCCATGTACAAACACCAGAATATTGGTCTGTGGACATTTGGGGATGGTTAGTGGTGGCCACGTGCAGCAAAGGTGGCCACCTGAAGTCAGACTGGCCAGCACACAGATGTGCACACACCTGGCTGCACATGCAGGGCTGCACACACAGCGCCCATTTCCTCTCTCCACCCACTCACACCCAGTCCTACTTCAAGCCCACTTCCTTTTCATTCAAGGTGGTTCCACCTCCCAAACACAGGGCAGGGAAAGCACCTCTGACACCTTTCCCCTTGGGCTCCAACCCCTTGAGCTTTCAGCTGCTGCTGCTCTGGGCCAGGCTGGGCTAAGGGATGCATTTCCATGAAGTCTCCTCCCATGTGTGTCCAGTGGCTCTGTGCCAGCCTGGTCGTGGGTGAAGTGTTCCTCAGGGTTGCTTTCCCTCTCTGCTCTAAGAAACAGGAAAAATGAAGAAAGCATTCTGGTCTGGGGTATGAAAAGTTGTGGGAATTATGAAAGCAACCAGGTTTTTTGCACTTCCCATAGGGAAGGTGATTCCAACACAAGGCAGCAATGGAAGCACAGGCTCTTACCGTATGGATCATCCCTGATGGTGATGCCCATCAGTTCTGATGTCTTTGGCACACTGCTGATCACTTGGAGAGGCTGGTTGGCCTCTTCCTGCTTCCTCTGCAAGTATTTCTTACAGTCCTCCTCTGCAAAAACACACAACCAGGCAAGATGTGATGTGAGTTTATACTGCTGGAGTTCATTGAAAAGGGAATAGCTATTTCATGAGGAATGCTAGAGGGAAACCCCCTGTCTGGTTTTTTCAGTATGAAGAATTTCTCTCACCTCTTTCTGAACGTTTTGATGCTGCCTCCACCACCTCCTCTAGCAATTAATTCCTGAAAATCACACTTGATATTTTTAAGAAGTACTTTCTTTTACTTGTTTTATTCTTCCTTCTCCCCTTAACTCTACTACATCCCAGAACACCTTTAATACCAGGAGTAAGGTACAGAGCACATCCCAACTCTGCTATCTGCTCTCATTGTTTTGCATTTTGGAGTATTTGAAATCATAAAACAGTTGGGGAGGTTTTCATGGTGTCAGTCTTTCTGCCCATGTAAAAAGCCAGAAGCCAAGACAAAATGGCCTCAAGTTGCACCAGGGGAGGTTTAGATTGTATTTTAGGGAACAATTCTTCACTGGAAGGCTGGTCAGGCATTGGAAAAGGCTGCCCAAGGCAACAGTGGAGACAGCGTCCCTGAAGAGATGCAAAAGATGTGCAGATGTGGCACTTGGGGACGTGGTTTAGAGGTGGCCTTGGCAGTGCGGGGTTAATGATCCTGTAGGTCTTTTCCAGCCTTAACAATGCTCTGCAGACACACAAGAGCTGATTCACACCCCCAGCCTTTGCCAGCTAGGACAACTGCAGGTGACAATGACTATCCACACTCACCACATACAGCAGAACCATGTAAAATTTCAAGGGGCCCCTGAAGCAGCTTTTATGTTGTGCAACAGCAACAGGGATCCTCTTATCCCCAGCAGAGTAGACATGAACCCCACCCACCCTGAGATAACTGAAGATCTATTATAAACAGATTCAGTTTAAAAATAAATTATAAATCTAAAAGTGAAGCCTTTGGAGAAGCAACAACAAACTCTGCAGCCTCTGCTACTCTGCAATTACAGAAGACTTGAAAGGAGATTTGAAAACAGGAATTAAGAAAAAGATGAAACTCCCTAGAGATTTTGCCTTTACTTAAGATTAAAAAAAACCAAAAAACAAACCAGTAAGTGTTAATCAGTACTGATCAGCTGGCACAGCTGACTGGTGCAACAGCAGAGTAAAGGATCCCTCGGAAGTGCAGGATGCTGGTGGGAGCCCAGTGAGTCCTCCTGCATCACAAGGACAGGTCTGCAGGAACCCCAGCTTGAGGCCCCATCCCCTGCTTCAATCTCAGCTTTGCATCTTGTTACTGGATTATCTCCAATCTAATAAGGCTCAGATCTGATCAAAGCTTTTCCTGAGGCTGAGGCATTCCCAATCTGCCTTTCTCCTCCCCTCAGCCTCCCCAGTCCTGCAGAGGGAAGAATCAGACACATTCTTTACCAGCCAGAAAGTTCAGATTTCACATCTTTCCTCACTAAAGCCCTAACTCAGGTCCCACCTCTCTGCCAGCTGCCTGTTGCGTGAGGTGTGTCAGCTCAGTCAGTATCTTTGAAATCATGGTTAAAGTCACTTTGAAGTTCCCAACAGGTTCAGCAGTCTCAGAGGAAGGACTGGCACACAGCCACCACCTTAAATGTGCTTTGATTGCCTTGGGAGCCAGGTTCACAATCTGAAATACTGCTCAGTAAGCAAGAAGAGGCAATTATTTAACAGCATTGCATAATGCTCAATACAGAAATGTTCATTTTCAGTGTATTTGCTCCAAGTCTTCTCTCATTGCCTCTGATTTGGGATGGATAAGTCCCCAACTGGAAACAGCACCTGATTGTTCAGGTTAATGAGAGTGAAGAAGGATCTGGAATGACTTTGGGACCATAAAAGGATGCTAAACAACGTAACCAAATAGCAAGAAATTCCTCCAAGCTGTCCTCCTCCACCAAGTGCCTAACTAGGCTTTACATTCCTCTGGAAGTCAAACAAATTCCTGAGGAAATTGAAAAAAAAGAATAGAAAGATAAAATCTAAAGCACAAAATCAGCAGCATGATGAGAACACAGAGAAAACAGACCCAGTAACTTTCCAGGCAGGAAAGTAGCATTTTTGTAACAGGTCAGGGAAGAAATGAAAATCATTGAGTTTCAGCAGGGAAGAGCACAAATGTATCAAAGCAAAAATCTTCACATCCCTGAAGATGATTCTACAGGTAAATAAACTGCTGAGGAATATCACAGTTAGGGTCGAGGTGCTGGGACATTAATACTGATGTTTTCTGATTTTGAGCTGGATCCTACTGAAGAAGTTCCAGTGGTACACAAAGATGCCCCTGGCAACAGGAGATACCTTTCCTTTCCTTTCCTTTCCTTTCCTTTCCTTTCCTTTCCTTTCCTTTCCTTTCCTTTCCTTTCCTTTCCTTTCCTTTCCTTTCCTTTCCTTTCCTTTCCTTTCCTTTCCTTTCCTTTCCTTTATCTCTGACATTGCAAGAGCTCTCAGCACCAGCAGCAGGTCACAGGCCCTCAGTGCAGTCCTCAGCCAAAAATCATAAAAGAGGAACAGTCACACTGGTCAGGCATATATATATATATGTATATGTGTGTGTGTATATATATATATATGTGTGTGTGTGTGTGTGTGTGTGTCTGTGCATTTCTGTAAAATCTATTTTTTTAGGTGTAATCTACAATCTATTTTTATAATTTATCTTTTGGACTAGTCACAGTTAAGGAATTTCCTGGGTCACAGACAGTATTTCTGTTGAACAGCCCTTAGTGGGTCCCTCTTCCAAGAATTTACCTGTCTCCTCTTATCAGCATGACCTAACTCTGGGTAAAACTTTTTTTTTCCAGGCTCTTGCCACTCCTGCTGGAGTCTATTCCAGCTCTGACAAAGCCCATCCACCACACTCCCTTCCAGTGGGACACATCCTGAGCCAGAACCAGCCTGGGTGATCCCAATATTTTTGTCAAGCCCCAGATCTTTTGCACAGCTGGAATCTCCCCCAGATTTGTTAGGGACCTCTAATAAGCAGATCACAAAGACATCCCACATTTAAGTGAAAGAAACATCAGACAAACTGATGCTTTTGTGTCTCCCAAAACCTGGCATTCAGACTGTGATCTTAAGCAGAAAGAACCAGAGGACCAAAGGGAAGTCCTCCATTGCTTCTTGATCAGGCTTTCTACAGAGATGGATTTCTACATCTTCCTTTATCCCCATGAGTAACAGGAAGTGAGATTTATTACTTCCTCGTTGCTAACTCAGTAAGCTCCATTATACAACCAAGGCCTTCAGGGAATCCTCTGTCTTTGGAAATCCTTCAGCAAAAATTTTCCCTTCTGATGACAGCTGGGTTCCCTCAGAATTTCTCTGATCACAAAGAATACAAAGAGTCCAAAAAGAAAAATTTACCAGAACAGCACAGGAACACAGAACAGGACCTTCCTTTGATTGACCTATCTCAATTTTTTTCAGTTTGCATGGAATTTTTTTCCCCTGACATTATCCAGTTCCACACATTCCTCATCTCCCCCAACAAACATCTTCCTATCACACTGTATCCATGCATCATAATTTTCACACTGTCCAGTGTCAGTGCAATTTGTCTCCTGGCTAACCTGGCTAAGAGCATCTTCTGACACACAGAAACTTTTTAATTGAAGGTTTGGGGTAAGACAGGGCTCCAGGTTACTTTGCAGGCCTCACGGTTAGCAGAAACACAGCACATGTCTCTCCTGGAAGCCAGGTGGGACTTCTGTGAATCACAGAATGGTTTGGGTTGGAAGGGACCTTACAGGTCATCTCAGCCCATCCCCTGCCATGGCCAGGGACACCTTCCACAGGTTGCTCCAAGCCCCGTCCACCCTGGCCTTGGACACTGCCAGGGATCCAGGGGCAGCCACAGCTTCTCTGGGAACCTGTGCCAGGGCCTGCCCATCCTCACAGGGAAGATTTTCTTCCCAGTATCTATCTAATATCTAATCTAAATCTCTCTTCTTTTAGTTTAAAACCATTCTCCCTTATCCTATCACTATCTGCCCATGCAATAAGTCACTCTCTCTCTTTTTAGAAGCCCCCTTTAGGCACTGGAAGGGGCTCTAAGGTCTCCCCGGAGCCTTTTCTTCTTCAGACTGAACACTCCCAGCTCTCTCAGCCTGTCTCCATAGCACAGGTGCTCCAGCCTTCGGAGCATCTTTGTGGTCCTCCCGACAACACCGAGGATGTCACTCCATAATCTGGAAAGGGCTTCTTGAGCGGGGTTTTTTCTTAACCTCACCTCGGCGGACAGAGCAGCAAAGTCCATTATGAGCAGAAAGAGCGACACGGACAGCATCCTCTCCCTCCCCAGGCACCGAGGAAGCAGCACCGAGGGCAAGCTCCGGGATTCCCGGGGCTATCATCCCAGCTCTCCCCGTTCCCAGCTCACCCACGCTGCCGGCCAGCTCCGTCAGGACATCGTCGCGACCCAAGCGGCGCAGCACATCGAGGAGCTGCCCCACAGTGGCCCCGCCGGGGCAGCGCCCGGGCCATTCNCTCAGCCCGGGCTGGGCCCGGCAGGACAGACGGAACCCGCAGCTCCGCGCCTCGAGTGCCGCTCCCGTCCTGGGCCCGAGGCAGGAAGGGCACTGAGCGGCTGCAGCGGACTCTGAGAAGGGAATGGAGCTGCGGAATGAAGTACACGTCCTACGAGGAGGGAGCTGGGTGTTTCATCTGGAGAAAAGAAGACCCAGGGGGTACTTTATCTCAAAAACTCCCTCCTGACAGGAGGTTGTAAACAGGTGCACGTCAGCCTCTTCTCCCAGGCAATAAATGAGAGTCTTAAACTGTGCTGGTAAGTTTAGGTTTGACATCAGGAAGAATTTTTTCACAGAAGGGATGATTACATTGGAATGGGCTTCCCGAGAGAGGTGGTGGAATCACCATCCCTGGAGCTGTTCAAGGAAAGCCTGGATGTGGGTCCATGGTGATGTTGGGTCAGAGGCTGGACTCAGCGATCTCAGAGGACTTCAGCCTAATTGATTCTGGGATTCTCCTGCTGGGCTTTGTCCCAGTGTAGTGCCCTGCCCTGTGAAGTGTCATGGACAGGGATCTGTGCTGTGTGTCAGGAGACACTTATGCCAGAGAGAACTGTGCTGTCACTAAAGCTGTTTCACTCTATTCCCCCCAAACCACCCCCTGATGGTTACATTCCTGCCCAGGCCCCTAATCCAACAAATGGAATTGTTAATGTGGCCCTGACAGGGCTAATGTTCAAAATCACTTTGTTTTTCTGCTTTTGGCAGAACAACTTGCTCTTGTGTTCAATGTGTGTTTATTTCTCACCCAGACCTGAAACCATCAACCCAAAGGGTTCAGGGATTTTACAGTGTTACAGTAATTCTTTACAGAACAGGCCTAGTGGATCTCTAGTAACAATAAATACAGAACTGTGTCACATCTTTGGTACTCAAAGTGTTCAGATGTGGGCTCCCCTCAGATGACAATGCTCCATAACAACACAAATATAGCCATTTCCAAACTCGCAAACTCTTCCAGCAAGTAGAACATCCTGCATAAAAATAAAATCCTAATAATGGTTAGGGAACCATTTCAAACTGCTTTTGATGCTGATGTGTACAAAACACAATTCTTGGCTATGAACTGAATATTTTTCAGCTTTCAGGAACCAAAAACAACAGGGTACTGCAAGGAAATTTTCAGGAAGCACACACTGCTTCTCCAAAATACTGCAGCAGACACAGTTAAAGAACATCCTCTGCAGTCTCTGTCTATGGAGGAGGTCTGTGAAAATGAGGAAATATTCCAGTAGGAAAACTTTTAATTGCACAATGATTGGTGGATTTAAAACTTTAAAACATGAAAAAATTAGCATAAGAAGTTTCAGTTCTGACTGAACACCTGCCACATAAACCACTGGCTCCAGATTGTAAGGAGAGGTGCTAATACACAACCTCCAAACACCCACATCCAGCAAGTGTTCCCAGGAACACCAGACAGGCAGATCCCATGTTATTATACCGTGTCAAACCTGTATCTTTGGCTTGTTCAAGATGATTAACCATTATCCAGGCACCCTCAGCAGCAAAACCTCCTGCTGAGCACTCCTTCAGCCTTCAGCAAGCATCTTTCTTGCGAGAGAAGTAAAAATCTATCCCTCTGTCCTTGTGCTGTGCTGGTCCCCTCCTTCCCCTGGGATGGGGACTTCCTCCCTGTGGAAAATGACAAGGAAGAGCAAGATATTTACTGATGCTGCAGGGTGGATTTGGTCACAAAGCAGTGCTGACATCCAGGAGAATGTGCACATGGAACTTTTGCCTCCCAAGTTCACTCAAAAAGGCAGGAAGGCCTGACGGGCACTGCTCTAGACTGAGATTTAAGAAACCAGGATTTATGGTAAGGTGAGAGCTGGGAAAGTTGGTCAAAATTGAACTTTTGCCTGATGGAGCTTTTTGGCTTCAAGTTTCATCACTGCATCAAACTGGTGTCTCACTAAGGTGCTCCTGCAGAGCCCTTTCTCTCATCCCAGGTTACTAATCCAAGCCCTCCAACCGCATGGATGAAGCAGGTGGCTTTGCTTCCACAAAACATTCCACTCATGGCAAAGAAATCTGGCTTAAAAATTTGGTACTGCACCTGGGGATTAAAACCTGAAATAGGGGCATGCTTCATTCTTCACTGACTTGGTACAACATCTAAATTTGAGCTTTCACAAAGTATCCTCACTCAGGAGGAGGCAGGGAAGATGCATGAGGGAAAGGCAAAATGCTGAATGCTCTTGTAATACACAACCCTTGGTTACATCCATTTCCTTCTGTACCCATCTCCTCCAAGAACAGCATCCCAGGCAGCAGATAAAAGCCTTGACATGTTGCAGGATCAACATCTCATTCTGCCCCCGTTCTAGAGGGGGAGATACGCCCAAAAAGCAAAGTGCAAGGAGCAGTCCCCATATTTACAGGTCTTGCTGACTCCAGTTTGAACACACTCAGGCAGAAGTTGGTTGTTTCTACTTCCACCTCCTGAACAGAAAGGACACTGGGTTGTTTCTCTACTGTCCACCTGTATCCTGGGGTGGTCACACCAGTGGAGGCCTTGGAGAAACCCCATCCCTCTGGCATGGAAGGATGCTCAGAAGGATCCTTTTAGCTGTGGCTAAAACCTGCTGACTATACAAGGGACAGAGAAGCAGCAAAAATTTACATCCTCCACCACAGTGGGTAGGACAGCCAGCTAAATAATCCTGGCTGCACAGTCCCTGCTGTGATGTGAGCTTGCAGTAAAACAACTTTTTTTTCCCATTACACCTGAGAAAGAAGAGCAGAACTCATAGAAACTGATGCAGAGCAGCCCCTGGAGCCCTCTCACCCCATGCCAGCCTTCCCAGTACTCACAGGCCTCTGGTGGATGTGCCGGCTCCACTCTGGGGCTGTCACCACTGGCCATGGGTAGGTCTCACCTAGAGTTACTCCTGCCTGGGAGAGAGCAGCACTGCTCAGTGCCCAGGGGGTGTGGATGTCTGCTCCCTTTATGCCCTGAAGTTCTGGCACCCACAGCCGGACATAATCCCCCTGCAAACAGAACCAATGGCACAGGATCCATTCAGTGACAATCTCTAAGTGCTTCCCAGCAAGGCTCTTTCTCAATTGGAAAGAGAGGAGGCAGATTTCCAGGTAGAGGAGCTGGTGTTGTACAGCATCAGTTACCTCTGACAAGCCCTTAGCCCTTCTTGCTAAATCCTCCACCCAGAATTAGTGCCTAAAGAGAGACCTGGGTGCTGGAGTTCTTCTCCCATGCTCCCACTGCAGGCAGAGGGGGAGGCAGAAGTGCTGTTCTGCACTTCTGTTTTCAGCACTGTTCACCTGTCCTGTTTAGGACATCCTGAAACGAAGTCACCACCAAGTAGTTTCCCATGACTGAAGGAAAATAGGATGACTAGCACAGCTGCACACTCTTGTGTTCCTGAATCTCTCCTATTAACTCTACTGCTGTGTCCTCTACTAGGACTAATTTCTGATTTCTTGTTAAATCCTGCCAGCTACAGTGCCAAAAGGCAACAGCACAGCCTGATGTGAAGCTAAGGAATAGTGTGGAAACAGGTAATCCAGTATGTGAATACTGGCTAAGCACATGGAAAGGACAATTTATCTGCTCCCACCATTTAAGACAGGACACTCAGAGGAGTCACAGGTTTAACCTACTCTTCAGCACCTCTCAAAGAATGGCTCTGTCTCTCAGATAACTCCTGAGTTCTCCAAGAAGCTTCTCTGTGCTCAGGAAAGCATCTGTGCTCAGTACTGATGGGATGTGGCTGTGACTAGGAAGAAATGGTGATGAAACACTTAACACACTGACCAGGGAGGGTGTGGGGAGCTCCAGCCTCCCTGGGGACAGGGACAGCAGGTTGTTAAAGTTACATTGTCCTGTACACAAGGAGGAACCTGCCCGACTGCTGGCCAGGACATATGAGAACTGGTTTGGTATCCCCACAGCACACTGATCTCCTCTGCTCCCTGAAAACACCACATGTCCTTACTGCACTCATCCTTGTAAAACAGCCAAATGAGACTTACATTCCCATCGTAATCCAGGCCTTGTTTGATCATGTTAAACTTCCTGTTGTCCCGTGGGTCGTTGCCAATGCCAGCGCTGTATAACCAGTTGCCATAATTGCTACAAACATCATAATCCACCTTGAGAACAGAGGGAGAAAACAGTCAGAAGAGCTGAGCTGGCCCTTGGTCAATCTTCTTGTCCATCCTTTAGCTCAGGGGGAAAATTCCTTGAATTAGATTCACTCCAACCGGACTGGGGGTGGTCAGAGCTCCCCCATATTGGTAGAAGCATCTGGCTCAGAAAAGGACCTGCATGGCTGCTTTTTACAGCTGGGATCAGGTTCCCAGGCTACTTCAATTCACAGCACTTAAGTCAGTGAGATAGATAAAAGTCCAACCAAAGTCTCTTTCTCAGTTTCCTTCTTTTTAAAGGAAAATTCTTCTCATTCTGCCATCATTTGGCAGACTTCCCAAGCAGCCCTAGAATTTGGATGTTCATATTCCAAAACAAAGTATTCTAATATAAGAGAAAATTCTTTCTGACCAGTTACCCAGACACCACACACTAGCAAATCATTTCTGCAGATGCTACTAGGCAGTTTGGAGAGAAGTCTAACTCAGACTGTGCAGAAAAAACACAGTGTATATGAGGATACAAATGATACAAACACTGCAGCTTTTTCCCATTGTCAAGTTATTCCCTCTCTAAACAAATAAAAAGCTCTCAAGGATGCTTATATAAAATGGAGTGGGGCTTTTGGAACAAGCACAAATGAGAGCAGAACGTGATCCCATCTGAGTGCTCTTCAGCTGGGCAGGGTGGCTTAAATCCAACACCAGTTTTCCAGTTGTAGGATAACTCAAACCCTGCTCAGGAGGGAAGTGACAATAAGGAGGGTTTGGGATCTCTGAGCATTCCTAGGGTTGTCTGTGCTGCAAAAGCAGCAGCTGTGGCAGAAAGAGCTGGTTCAGTGCTGTTCTCTTCTCCCTTTACTGCAGCCACAGCAGCAATGAGCCCACAAAGAGATGTCCCCAAGATGTCAGCCACTCCTTGGAGTGGGGAGCTCAATGCTCCAGGATGGCAGAAGGCTCAGGGAAAGGGCTCTGTCAAGCTGCCCTTTTTCTGCAGGGCCAGTGAGTGCCAGGGTCAGGGTGAGCAGCAGCCAGCTCTGCTCCCTGTGCACCAGGCTTCCCCTTCCCAGCTCGCTTCCTCCAGCTGGTGAGATAAGGAGGGAAGAAAGATGCCATTGGAGGCCTGATTGTGTGATTAACATGCAGGAAAGTGTGTGTGGGAGGTGAGGGCAAATCCAAGGGGGCCTAGAGGAGGCAGGCTCATTTCCCCCTCAGCCTTGCCCCTTCCTGGCATTCTCTTCTGTTTGTTTCTCTGCCTTTCCTTGGGGCTTGACCCTGTGAATGGAATCAATGAAGTCAGAGCTGAGATATTCTCAGTTCAAGACGTCAGTGGCCTCTGGCCTTTCCTCTGGCTCCATCAGGCTGCAGAGAGTTTGTGCCTCAGTTTCCCTGCCTGTCTGGTGTGGATGGCACATATAAACACTTGGTGGGCCTTTGCTGGCAGTATTGGAGATGAAATAGGCATTGCTTTCCCTTTTTTTGAGGCAAGACCAGTTTCAGTTCTGCACTGGCCTCTACTCTTCTACAGCTGTGCCTTCCCCACCAAGCTGATGTCTCCTGTGTGCTGCTCTGGGGATATCACCAGGTTACAGAAACAGAGCTGTGTGACACCAGATGGGACAGAAGGACACAAGGATCAGCCTGTGCCACACCAACCTACAGTGGCCATCAGCATCTGGGGCTTCCCAAGGTGAAAGGGCCAGTGCAGCATGCTAAATTCTGCTTCCAGCAAGGCTGCTATTCATATCCTTAGGAATAAATGTAGATATCTTTCTATTACATTATTATATTCTAATAAATGTAGCATCTTTCTAGTGTGAGACCTTCCAGGTCTTCTTCACTTGTGGAACAGGACACACTTGT